GATTATTATTTTAGGTTTGTGACGCCATATTGGAGAATGGAAAACACAGATTTACCTTCACAGCCTCAGAAGGACAGAAAGTAAACCTGCTGGACATGAAGTCATGTTTTGTTTTTAATGTTTTTTTGTTGTTAGCATTCATATAAATATACTGGTGTGATTAGATAGTACTGGTTTGACTGGTTTTTGTTATACGTCTATTTTGGATTTATAGCGCCCCCTGGAGAAAACTTCCCCAGCTGCCACTGGTCAGACCCCACCTCTAAAGGAGGAGGGATGTCTATCATTCCTTGGCGCCATGGAGCCGGTGGGCGTTACCGCATCAACAGGAGGGCCCTCTAATAGAGACAGAGAGGAAGACACCTGGATGATGGCGGCTGAGTGAACACGGGGTGAGGGGTGGAAAGGGTCACCAGCAGCGTCATCTCCAAACCACCTGAGGTCCACCGTCCGACTGAGACAGAGAGGATTCCAATGAGGACGACCTCTCAGAGCGCCACTGACCCTCCCTGGAGGGGACGTCCCCGCAGACCCAGAACAGGAAGCTCAGAGAAATGAGCAGACCACCTTAGGCCCGGTCCCCCTCCCCCAGCAGTGTGTCGCAGTCAGCTTGTCGCAGATATTTTTGATTTATGCCGAATATTGAAGCGTGGTCTGCGCCATGTTATTCCACGCCGCAACGCCAGAGGGACAATCACTGTTAGAAAAATGCAAATGTTATCAGTTTATTTTAAGTTACAGCCTCTGGCCTGTTAGGAATGTTCTGTTGTTTTAACTTAAAATGGGGAGAACAAATGGTTGGCCATTTGGTGATGCGTGGTTGCAGCTGACTGATCATCACCTGCAATAAAACTGCACAAAGAACTGTCGTGCTTTATCATGTGTAAACCTTTGACCCCTCCTGCTCCTCCTGAAGTCTGATAATAAAGGCAGAGGACAGAGAGGTCCCAGCAGAGCTGACTGCAGACATTCAGGGAGGGAGAATTCTCCGTCTGCATCTTCTCTCCTTTCCTAGAAAAGTAACTTGTGTGTTTGTGTCCGTCTCATTTCTAGGA